AATTTTTCCGAGAAGGTCCCTGAGTGGCGATGGAACTTTTTTTTTTTTTTTTTTTTTTTTAATGGTGTGTCCTGATGAGAAAACGTTCAAGGATGAATTCAAGGATACTGAGGCGGTCCATTCCCCGGTTTCCAGGATAGAGGAGGCAGCCATGTTGAGAGTCTCCAATTTGGGAGAAGGGGATGAAGTTGAGTGCGCCCCCCGTGGCTCCTTCATAGAACAGCTGGCGGTCTCTCTGCTCCGTCAGTTCCTCATACAACAGAGAGCCCAGGAGCTCCGGCGGGACATTTTGCACCACATCTGACAGCAAAGCACTGTACGCCTGAAGTGATCTGGAGCAATATGAGCGGTGACATCTGCGAAGCAACAAGAAATTTCAGAAAACCTCAGCCAGACATTCACTAGCGTTTGCATTGTGACACTTACAGTGGAAAATTCAGCAGGTCAAGGAACCGTTTGATCTTCCACGTGTGAACCGCATCCCTGTGTTGACGCTGTAATTTACACACAATGCACAACAACTATTTTAGCGACTCATCGCTTAACTACCCTCTTCTCCCCAAGGTAACCCACAAAAAAATAGACAACAAGAGTCAGAGAACATTGCCGCCAACTCTGGAGCACTGCAATGAAGCGTTTATGATGAAGTTAGTTGGGTCGTTCTAATCAACAGATTTTTGTTTTTTGAAATAAAAAAGCAAAACTACCTGTTTCCTTCCATGCTTGAAATAGAAATTGTCCCCCAGAACTTCACTGATGCAGCCAAAGGCATCTTGGCAATGATCAATGTAGAAGTTCTGCATCTAGAGACGACAGATTTCAAGAATATGTAAAAACATTCATGAATAGAGAAGCTAGATGCCAAACCGCACTCACATGCTCTGTGAAGTCCAGTGGATTGGGAAGAGTTGAAGACCAAATGAGAGCTGAACATTGGGGAAAATAAATAAAATTATTTAAATGTGTCATTTAAGTTGAATACATTTGCCTAAAACAGGACCGATTTATTCGGATTTCATTTCAGAAAGTGTAGCGGGTTAGGGGGTGTCTTTTTAAATAGTGTATTAACATGTTTCAGATTGTGATAATCATTTGGGAAATGAAATTTGCAGCAACACATTTGTCCAGGTGTGTACAGCTGTCAGTCACTCACAGTTATTTGGTTTGAGGAGGGGAATCGGTGCCGGTTCTCTGTGACGCCATATCTCCCCTTTCACCTGATGTCTGGATGTAAAGGTCCAGTTGTTTGGAGGTCCAGAGCTGCCCTGAAACCACAACGTGCTTTTTATTATTACTATTAAGATTATTAGTGGTGGGAAGTGACGGAGAAATACATTATTACTTTGCGGTTAGTTTTCAGGTATCTGGACTTTGAATATTTATTTTTCTGACGCGATATTACCTTTAAAAAGGAAGTTCAATGACTACTTCCACCAAACGGTTCCTCAGACAAACAGCTCAATCTCTACTTAAGCACAAAGTTCCACGTCAAGTATGTGTCAGTGTCACATTTTGCACCGCCCCTCACGTGCAGCTGACAGAGGCATTCAAAATATTAGACACGTCACAGGCGTCTTGCAAAGACTCAGTGGTTATCTCTGGAAATGTCTCACACGGCGCTCGAATTAAATTCAATCTCAACAGACTTTGCTCAAAAACCAACCTGAGGTTGGACCAGATCGTAACTGCCCCAAATTCCAGCACAAGGTTTCTGCGAGCCGTCTGGTGGTCCACTGTTGTAGAATGAGGGGAAAAGCTGCGGTGGGAAGTGGTAATCCATTTCCTTTGCATTAACCGATTTGTAAGATGTTTCGAGTTTGAATGGTAGCAAGCCCCTCGCTGTGCCACAGAACACGTCTGAACATGTTCAGGCTTGAGATTCGGCTAACGCTAGCAGGTTGTAGTTGCAGCATAAAAAATAGACTTCTTCTTCTTTCCTGGACGAATCATCTCGACAATCAGTCATTCAATTGGACGTCATATTAAAAAAATAAATAAACCTTTCACGAAACGTTAAAACTTGCAGCATGTTAAACTGTCAGTAAGCCCTCCATCCACGTTTGCGCGGCCAGCACGTGTGTGAGTCGACTAGTTAAGTTTCCAATCTTGGAAAAGCTTTGGTACTTACTTCCGGTTTCGACGTGACACGCTGTTCGCGTGGTAACCGGAAGTATTTGTATGGCTGTGCCACAATAAGAGTGTGACATGACAACATGACAACGCTGATCAACAAAAACATCACGTCCGTTGGCTTTCATGCCAGGATAAATCCACTAAGATTGTCAAAATTATAATATGCTAAATATTCTGGAGCTCTGGGTTTGAATTTCGGCTCCTCCTCCTGCTCGTGTGGGTGCTCTCGCCTTCTCCAAAAACATGCAGGTTAATTTTAAGTGGAGATGTTAGAATACGGTGTCTCGATTGAAATTAATATGCATGTTTAATTATTTGTGAGTGATTTGAGGCCTATATTTGCCCGGTGGTTGGCGGGCAATGAGTCCAGTGTGTAGGCCTAGTCAACGATAGGCTCCAGCAAATTCTGTATTGTAGAATATGAATGGATGGATGATAACATTATATGCAACGAACCCAAAGGCAAAAGCAAGGCCAGAGGTCACCAACATTGTGCCGTCGGGTCTCAGGTAGCCCCTAAGGAATACATAAATGTCCCACGGAAGCGCTCAAGTTGAAAAAGGTTGGAATAAGATCAATTAGCCGAGAGATGGCGCCCAAGAGAAAGTTAAATATTTGGATTGAGGTAGTTATCGAGGTTTCATTTATTTATTGATTTCGTTTTACGAAATCTTTTTCACATTTACAGAATTTTTTAAGACCTAATCATTTAACTTCATATTTGTTTGTTGTTGTTGTTTTAAAACAGAATAAATTTTGATCAAATTAACAACGAAACAATAAAGCATAGTTCAGGAAATAACTTTATTCAACAATAAATGTTTGTACATATTTCAAGATGACAAAAACATAGCTTTTCCAGACCGAGATCTGGAAAAGCACAACCACATGGGTACAGGAATAAATAAAGGAGAGGTGTCCGCGCCCCTCCATTGAAAGCAATGTATAGTTTCACAATTTAAATTCTTGCACCAAAGGTATCCAGACAAATGTTTCAAGATGCAAGAGGTGATTTTACAAGCTTAAGCTATTAAAAATGTTTTTAAAAAAGAGAGAAGGATTTGCAGCTCTCTTCTCAGCATCCAAGATAAAACAGATCGCATACTTTATTTAAAGAATGTTTGAATTGTATTGCGAGTGCAAAAAGTGTAGAGACTAACCGTGTTTCATGTTAGTGTGTCATTATTTCTCAAAGTCTCTAAACGAATAATTCAAAAAGCTTTTTTTTCTCTCCAGTGAGTAATTAACAAATTGTGACTCGTTTGGTTTCTTATCCCAACCTCTATGTGATGAACAGGTAAAAAAACAAAACAAAACAAAAAAAAACAAACCCTCAAACATTTATGGTTCACAAGGCCAATTTGAGCTGAGCAAACGGAACCTCTGAGCCCAATGAATGAGAAAAAAAAGAAAATGTGCTTAACTAGACACCCGTAACGTTTGATCCAATGTATTTACAGTGAAGCTGGAGAAAAATAGAAAAGCCAAGAACGTTTGTGTATATGTAGTCTACTAAGATTATAGGTTTTAAAACTCCCATACATTGAAGCCAATACCTTTGAACGCAATCGCTTAAAACACGCATCAAGTCTACATTATAAATACAGAAAACACTTACAAAAATAGATATGATTTGAAAAACTGTCGTTGTTAAAATGAGGGATATACTGTAGCGCCCCCTGCTGCCAAGAACGGCGCACTACCGTAAACACATTATTGCAAAATTGGCTGACACCTCTTGTCAAGGTTTTAGAGAATATCCCATTTGACCACAAGGGTATTTTTTTTTTGGTGCTGAATATGATCAGCAGCGTTCAGATTGTTATTTACGCCCCCCCCCAAAAAAAAAAACAAAAAACAAAAACGTGATGCATTCAGTGTCATTCACAAAATATGAAGGAAGCCTGCGTGGGGATTATACGTAAGAACCAATCACCAAGAACAATATCTCAGAGAAGTCAAGCCGCGGATGAGAACATTGGTCTTTGAGGTGTGCAACATCAACAAAGAAACGATACGAAGCAAGTCCCGGCAGAATGCACTTCCACCTCTCACAGAACGAGCGTTTGGGATGGCGGTCATCCTACGCGACAACCACTTCCACTTCTACAGGGTCAATGATACTGTCGTCGCCGTTCAGGCTCTTTTTGACAGGCTGAGGCTCTTCGTGTGGAGCGGAGTCCTTCGCCAACGCCGGCTGCTGCGACGAATCGGATTTCGTGGCGGAAACCTCCGCAGTTTGTTCGCGCTCACCTTCCTGTACTGCTAACTCGATTTCCTCAATAGCACTCTTAATCGCCGCTTCCTCCTTCTCGTCTTCCTGTTCCTTGTTTCCCACCAACTGCTGGAGGATTGACTGTGGTGATCTCTTCTCTTGCGGAGACTTCAAGGGGACATCCTCCACCAATGTGGTGACGTGGCTCACCTCCTCCTGCGCTCCATCCCCCAGCGGGATGCCGCTCGGTGTCGGCACCGTCCCGTTGGACATGTCGCTCTCGATTTCATCTGGCAGCACCACTTCCTTCACCGGATTGATCAGATCTCTGATTTCGTCCACGCTATCTGGGGATTTCGGCCCCCCGCACGCATCGGCCTCAGCCTGCTCCTCCGTGTCATCGGACGCCGCGGCGTGTTCTTCGGGGATAAGCTCGACCCCCGGAACTTCCAAACACGACTCGTAGGGCAAGGGTACTCCTTCGAGCTGGATCATGGACACCACCTGCTTGCGTTTTTTCCCAGAACCTCCGTCGGCATCGCCGCTACCACCTTCGGGTTGACCGTTGCCGAATTTGGTGGCCCAGTCCACCGGAAGACTTTCGCCAAGCGCTTGGAGGTCGGGGTCACTGTTGGTCATGACAATACTGTCCCTGTAGAGATTGTGCCTCCTCTGGACGGCAGCCTCCTTCACAGCTACACACGGGAAACGAACGCACGCGTGGAGCAAAAAAGTCAGAAGTCAACGATTATTTTTTGAATGATAAACATTGAAGGGGGTCAAATTGACCCAGAGGACAATAGGAGGCTGAATTGTTCCGCAATCCTCACCCATCATGATGTCCTTTGTGACAGACTGCAGCACCACCTCCTCAAACATATTTTCCACAAGAAGGAAAGGGGAGAAATCCTCAAAGATGAGCTCTTTAAAACGCGGCAGCTCCTGGGAGGGGGGGGGGGGCAAGCGGACATGGGTTCATCTATTAAAACACTCTGTCGTTCAATAAAAACCTGATGTGTCGAATATTATTATTGTTGATCTAACAGCGTACGCGATGAAAACAAGATTGTCAAAATGCAGTGCAGCGGGGTGCCACTTACGGTGGAGCAGGACGGCGCGAGCTGCTGCAGCATGTAGGGGATGATGATCTGCAGCAGAGCCTCTCTGAAGAACTTCTTGCGTACCGTGCTGCTGTCGTAATCGTACTTCTGGAGGGAGAAACCGAAAGTAGGGGATGATGATCTGCAGCAGAGCCTCTCTGAAGAACTTCTTGCGTACCGTGCTGCTGTCGTAATCGTACTTCTGGAGGGAGAAACCGAAAACGCAGAGAGAGAGAGAGAGAGAGAGAGAGAGAGAGAGAGAGAGAGAGAGAGAGAGATTACCGAATGCCATAACCTCTTTTTCTTTCTGATGCAAATCATGAGTAATGAACCTTTTTGAAAATTATCGGTTAAACTGCACAATGTCTGGATTCTTTCTTTCCAGTTTACCTTGAGAACCCTATCCTGGCACCCTTGGATGATTTTACACATGTCATTTTCTCCTTGGGCAGCTAACGACTGCTGCAGCAGCTGCTCAAATGTGTGTACTGCATTGTCCATTTGCTGTCAAAAAAAACAAAAACAAAAATCCCACAAGAAGTCGTATTTCAGTGGTTTAGAACGTCATGCTCAGCCACTAACAGGCAACTGCGAAGTTTCTTTGAGCCAACTAGCAGGTTCCCTCTCAGCCACAGCGACGGTGCATTGACTATTGGCAACATGTGAACATTCCAGAGAGAGCGAGAAAAAAAATGTCAGCTTAAATTCTCACCTCCCTCATGAGGATCTGAGCCCTGCTGACAAATACCGAAGGGCTCGAGACGTCGAACCTTTGCTGCAGTCCCTCCAGGTTGAGCTCCTCCACATTATCATAGCAACTCTTCATTTTGACTGGATGGAAAGCCAGCATGGAGAGCTTCTCCAGGTGCTGTCAAGAAAGATCGACGCGGCGTGATCCGGTTGCGGGGCGGCAGCGCATCGAGGCAACAAATGTGCCCTGAGCAACATCCGACTTACCTCGGCCAGTTTTTCTTTGTCTCCTCCATTTAACAGGTTCTTGCTGATGTCCACCACCTCCCGGAAGAAAACATCCCTGACCTCAGCGAAACCTCGGCTGATGGGCTCCATGAGAGCCTCTAAGATGGAGTTGATGTAAGGTTGGACGCTCCGCTTCAGGAGAGACTCAGCTTTGGGTAACACCAGTTTTTTTTTTTTTTTGTTGTTGTTTTTTTTCATTAAAACATGTCCGAATCACAGGCTGATTTTCTGCAATAAATCTCACAAAGAAGCACTGCATCAGAGATCTACAAAAAAAAAAAAAAAACCAAAAAAAAAAACCACATACATCCCAATAATAAGCATTACAGTATTGTCACTCTTCCAAAAAAAAAAAAAAACACATACGTCCCAATAATAAGCATTACAATATTCTCACTCTTCCGCTGTGCTGGAACAATCTGACGAGAACTCACAAACATCCAATCTCTCTGCCTTTGCTGCATCTTCCCTTTCAAACGAGGACCAATTGCGTTTCTCACTTCAGGATGGAGACTCTCCATCACTAGATTTGCCAGGATCTGGACACACACACACGCACACGCACAATATTTTCCTTTTCTTGTGTCAGAAGTGAACAGCAACCTGCTGGGAGGTGGCTTGTCGATGTGCAGAGTATTCAATCAACGCAAGCGGAAGCGTTTGTGTCTCGCCCATTTTGTGACAATGCAAATAGTGGAAGAGCAGATAGATGAGTTCATTTGAATATTATAAACCGCTAATGCGGCATTTTCATGATTTGTGTTTAACACATTTAAATAAAATATTCATGTCACGAGTGCAAACGACAGTTTCTGATGTAGTACATCAAGTCTGAGAGTAAATATCAGCACTGGACAAGATGATATTTTTCATTCATGGAATACCTAAATATGATCGAGCAAAGGGGCCAACTTACATATGAATGAATACACTGTAAAAATATTGTCAGAATGGAAATGAAAACCACGTGCATTGAATTGACAATTTCAAAAATACACAATATTTTGTCACTCACTGCAATCGAAAATATCCTCCCAAGCAGGAAATATGTGACACGTGTTATATGGCGAGAAACGGTACATGCTGCGTGTTTGGTAGCACACACAAAAGTCACCTTGACTTAAGCCGTATAGTCCATCAGCACGTGTAAGCAGGTCGCAAAAGCTTTGCGCGGGGCCCCGAAACAAGCAAGAAGCAAAGGGAAAGGTGACGGCAAAGAACACAGGGTGATTCAGGAGCGCTCGTACAAAAACTGAAAGGGACTCATTGAAAAGTGAGAGAGACCCACTTCACTCGAGTGACCTTTGGCATGCCGTTAAGGCAGAAGGGCTGGACGATGGCTGCCCCTTTCGGACGCTCTCTTCTACATTCATGTGTGAAGGCATTCTTGTCTTTTGGTGTGGGAAGCGGGTGTGCGGATGAAGACGAAAATGGAGGAGCCAGAACAAAATAGTTAAAAACTGAACATAAAATAAGCCGCAGTGGAGGGAGTTTACTGTATTCAGTGAACCTAAGAGACAGTTTTCAAACGTTGGTACCGTACATGTTATGAGCCTGGGAAGCCAGAGTGAAAGGATTCGAGTCACCAAAGCCCGAGAGTTCCCTAACCTGTGAAGGCGTTCCACACATCATGTCCCAGGTCCCATAGTGGCCTTTCGCTTGTCTATGTAGTCTCACAGTGTCAGTGAAGGCCGGCGTCTGAACAGTGCAGTCCTCCGGCAGACCTAGTAAGGTGAAGGAAACAAGCTCCTTCTGTTAACCCATACGACAAGACAAAAATAACACCATCTTGGGAGCAATACGGTTCAGAGGATTCCTTTGGAAGGATTTTAGGATTTACAGTTGAAGATCGACACAGCCCTGTTCAAATACCAATTTTTTTTTTTTTTTTTGTTGACTGACCAAGATAAATCATTTAAACAAGTAACCACTATTTATGTGACCTAGATTGTGCAAATTATGATTCTATTTATTTTACTTTTTTTTGGGTGGGTGGGGTCAAAATAACCAACTGAACTAATGCGGTTGGTTGCCCGAGCGTGCACATGCTATGTTTGCACTAAATATACTTTTTGGAAATATGAAGTTTCCCTAAGTGATGACAAAGATGAATCTGTGTCTGGAGAATAAATCTAGCAGTGGCTAGAGTGGAACACAACCAAATGAACTGTCAGGCTCCTCAAAAGAGGAAGATACTTTTTTTTTTTTGTGACAGAACTCACATGGTTACTGACACACCCAACGGACAGGACCGAAGGAGCTGTGCTAAAACAACAAAAGCGGTGTGTTTTTAGGAAGTGACTTACTGTCATGTGGTTGTGGTGATGTGATGAGATTCAACTGGCTTGAGTACATAAAAAACAAAAAAATAATGCAGCCATGAAGACCGCAGTGCACCAGACACTTAATGATTAGCAGCTCACCCGTAAACCAAATTCCTCTCATAAAATAACACCAGTTACATTTGGTTTTCAAAAACAAAAAAAAAAAAAAAAAAACCCAGCCATGAAGACCGCAGTGCACCAGACACTTAATGATTAGCAGCTCACCCGTAAACCAAATTCCTCTCATAAAATAACACCAGTTACATTTGGTTTTCAAAAACAAACGCTTTTGAATGAAAGTAGATGCTTCAGCCCCCACCAGCCCCTTGAAATGTTGATTATTCATAATCATAAGAATGATAACTCCACCTGTTTACGTTTTGCAAGCTATCACGTTCACATTGATTCCTTTGTCACTTCACCTCAAACTAAGAACGGGCCAGTGTTGTGATAGCAGGTCTGTGACACCGAGGAGGCTGACAAAGTCAGGAAGTGAGTCAGGAATTGTCGGTGGGAGGGGGCAGGGCGAGCCCGACGGGAAGCTGCCCCTCCTCGATAACTTTGCAGTGATGGGTGAAAGGGGCCAGTGGAAGACGGTCAGTGGAAGGTCGCGTGGAGATGCGAGGCAGGAAGAGAAAGCAGAAACATTTTGTTTTTCATCGAAGGAAAAAAAAGGCACCGCAACTAACTCTCAGAAAGCCGAAATGATTACTTTGTGACAAAGTGAGACGACATCCAAGCCGATGATAATTTGCGAGCGAAGTGATACGCAGTTACCGGCCAGACCTGTTTTAGCTCAAAGTCTGCGTCAAGTTTTATTGAGTGTTGAATTGGTTGAACAGGCTCCAAAGGGAACAAAAATGCAAATCTTATCTTGTTTGTTTTGGTGATTAATTATGTTTGCCAACGGCGCGTCGCTAGCATTGATGTTGGACTTTTTTTTTTCTCCTTAATCTTGCGTTTTCTTACTCACTCGAGAAGCCATGTCGTTTTACGCCGCGCAATATTTTTGATCTCTTTGCCAAGCAGTTGAACCACGAGGCCGTACAGTTCCTCCGCAGTGTCGGGTGAGGGCACGGAGTAAAAATAGAACATGTGGCAGCAATTACCGCAGCATAAATTTGGAGGTATTTCCCTCTTTGCGAGGTTGACTGCACTCTATCGGATGGGATGTGGAGCAACAAGATTCCCAGGCCTTCGAGCCATTATTTTGCAATGGCCTTATCCAAGCCGACAATCAATTCAAGGCTCCCAACGACTAAAAATCTAGATAATTCTGCACAGTGCCCCGTTAATGATTTCTGTTAAACAATGACCCCATTGCCCAGAAAGCCGGCCTTTATGTATTGACCAACCTGACACTATGAATGGACGCCACAGAATTAAACAGCAGCAGCAGCCAGTATCCTGCTGACAAGGAACTTCACCAGCTGACCTAAATGTGCGCCTTTGCCGTCGGCTCGTGATAGAAGTGAACTCATTATCCTATTGTACACGTCACTGAAATACGGGGCTTGGTGAATTCTCTGGAAGAAAGGGCAGACTGTAAAATGTCGCTGTCCTGTAAAAAAAAAAAAAATTCACAGGACAGCGACGATAAGCTGAGTTAGTCTCTCAAATATATATTAAAAAAAAAAACTTCTAAAGTGCACTTATGTAACTATGTGAAGTACAGTGTGCTGTGGAGACACGAGGTATTCCTTCGTTGGGTTGCGTTTTCAACATTTAAACGGTTTTGGTCCGAGGCCAAAATAGAATAGTTTGGTCACCAGGCTGATGCAGCAGGCTCTCATTTGGAGTTCGAGGCCCCAATGAGCTCCCACGGGCCTCCAGAATACCATCAATCACAGCCAACTCTCCTCCCCCTGTCGCCACTTAAAACTCATTTGGCCTTCCTTATGCTCTTATGCACACATCACACACAATATGTGTGAATAACATGGAAACGGATGAAGGGGGGAAAAAAAAAAGAAAGAAGAAAAATGAATGTGGACACAATTGTTGGCATCCCTCTGTTCGTGAAATAAAAAGACTCAATGTCACTGAAATCACGGAGAAAAGAAGCAATGATAAATAAAAACATACGGAAAATTAACCGAAAGAAGCAATGATAAATAAAAACATACGGAAAATTAACGGAAAAAAATCAGGCGGTGAAGACGTTGCCTTTGAGTTCAACTAGACCAGGGGTAAAAAAAATCAGGCGGTGAAGACGTTGCCTTTGAGTTGTGGTTCAACTAGACCAGGGCTGTCCCAACTTTTTCGTTTGAGGGCCACATACATCAAAATGGAAGGATAAAAGGGCCGCTCTAAAACGCATGACGGGCCGGGAATGGCCCCCGGGCTGCCGTTTGGACACCCCCGATCTATCTGATCTCATATGCACTAAAAGAAGCAAGCTTTGGACTGCGAACACCCCATTTTCCCTTGAAGAACATATGAGCTAATCAAGCCAACTCCCTTTTAAATTGCCTGCATGGAGGGCAGGGGTCACATCCATAAAGTCATTTTTTACGACTCCCGGGAAAAGTCGTTTGCCTGTTCTGTTTTTTCCTCAAAACGCCAACATGACAGAGGTGAGACTGGGCGTGGTAACGCAGGCCAAAGCCATGAATGTGATCAATCCACACTGATGCAATTGACCTCGGCGTGCGGAACACCAACAACAGTCCCGCTTCCTTCTGATGTGTTCTCGAAGCCCAGATGGAATGTACCACGGGGACTCACTGAGCGTGCCCAAACAGGTCGTGTGGAGGAGTCAAAAAGGCTGAACAAGACAGGCAAGGGCTGGTTTTGTTTTATGAGCAAAATGTATGCACTACTCGTCCCTCTCGATCATCGACACCCCGAGCTCTGGTTTGGGCAGAGGATATAAAAATAGAGAAGACAGAGGGATCGATGTATACGTATACACTAGATGCATCGAGATGGGGGTAAGAAAATTCCACAAAATAGAGAAGACAGAGGGATCGATGTATACGTATGCAGATGCATCGAGATGGGGGTAAGAAAATTCACTTTGGCTTGTTTGGCATTTGCTATGACTCCATAACACAAACTCTGGCCGTACTTCAGATTTCAGAAGTTTGCTTTGTGTGAACGGCACTTAAATGGGAAGCGCTGAACAGGAAATGACAATTCAAATGCAGATTTCAAAATAAAATCACCACCATCGACACATTCAGCCCCTATTTCGTGAAGCTAAAAGATAACTATTAACCAGATGAAAATTCACTTTCCACTGTGAGCACACATCAAGCGTCTATCTCCAAATAAGTGATAGATTAACTAGAAACAAAGAAAGCCTTTGAGCATTGGCTGTGTCTTCACAGCTCAAGGCAAGTACAGTAAAAGGTGCCCTGGGGTCCTCGAGAGCCCCTACCCTGCATGCCTTTTGCTCCTCTTCCATCGCATCGGATTTAAATGATCAGGAATCATTAGCAGTCTTAGTGATGAGCTGATCAATTGAATCTGCCAAATTCATTTACGTTTTTTTTTTTTAAACGAATTGATCTACTTGGTCCTATTTTTTCCCCTGTGAAGAGGAACCGAACCAGCAGGGAAGTGGTCAAAGTCAATAACCCCTTTGCACATCAAATCAGCAAGGTTTTTGCTGCCCATACACAAGAAAATGGGTCGAGTCATTTGCACTGAGTCACCATTTTTTCCCCTCTCACTGAGTTGCCTTTAAACATTTGGGAGTACGATTGCCCTGAGCTCAAATAATTTAGCTCCTACGTTTCAACATTATAAGGGCCGCATGTGAATAACGATCTGGCAAAGATCATCTTGATCATTTCTGCAACCACGGCGGCGCAGTGAGAGGTTCCGCCGTCCGACAAAAGCAGCTTTTTAGTCAACCCGTGCAATGTGTTGTCAACACATTGTTGCAGGAAGTTGGCATGGCGGACTCCTCGAGTGACTTGCTGAGAAGTGCGCGCAAGAATAACAGCCTGACAAAAATGTCATGAAAGAATGTTTGTGCATCCTTGGGCATGTCTCGATTTCTAATCTGTTCATCGTAAATATGTGATATGCATCAGTGCTTATGCATTAGATCTGCCTGGATTATGTAAAAACCGCTACTGAGATTTTATGACGGGGAGGAAGAAGTGGCATTGGGAGAAATTATTACAGCATACAGTAGACACTGTCATACTCGCAATTCGCACATTCTGAGATTTTTTTTTTCTTGAAATTTTTTTATCCTATTTTTATTTTGAAGGGCCATTTCACCCATTTTTTTTTCATTGAAAACGCATATTGAATGTTCAGTTTTTTTTTACTTAAAATTATTATGATTCTTATTATTTTTTTTTTGTTCCGACGCATTTCACTAGCTGTCAGTTACGCGGGGACTTTCACTATAATTGTTTGCACTGCTGGTTATACTCCATGGCAGCAAGTATTGTGAACTTAAGTTGACCCAAGCCTCGTCACTGCTGATGTCCAGCTGATGATTCATGACATAACATGATTAAACAAAAAAATCAGTACCCCATTGTGCACTCTCTTTTCATTTCTTTTCTTTTCTTTTTTTCTCCTCTGTTGGACATTGCCCTAGAAGTTATAGCTCTGGGCCGAGACCCCTCCATTCCTCCATTGAACTTTCTTTTACAACAAGAGCGTGACAGCCAGCTTGAGATTCCTTTTTAGCCAAGTATGCGCCACTAACTGATTGCCACTTGATTTCTTCCAACAACAACAGCACAAAGGCCGCTTAGAACAGAGTTCAGCCGAGACATCTCCTAACTTTGTTCGCTAATTCTGTTAAAAGTCCAACGTGGGAGCAACGTCAGCCTCTTTCGTCACTCTGTGATCGACACGCAACACAGCAATAACACCGTCAAAGCTCTCACGATCCACACAAGGTGTTTCCGACATTTTGTTGCCACAATGGAGTGCCAGGATCCGCCGGCGGATCCTGGCGCTCTTTCTACTGTGTACCTTACCTCACCTCACATGTGAATTTTTTTAATGACTAGTTGTGCGCGGGTGCATAATAATCAGCTGTCAAATATTTAGACTTCGCAAGCTTCACACACCCATTTTGGAGTTTCAGTGACTTTCACTGTGCACAGATTCCACGGTGGCCCCACTCGGAGCTCCTTGAACTTGTAGCCGATGAGGTTGAACAAATAAGAGCGCTGACGTTGTCATATTGAACTGGCAACTGGAGTTTTTCTCACCGTTGTTACAGTGCCGGACGCAGTCTTGCAAGACGGCGTGCCACTTCTGTTGCTCCTTCTCGGTCATCACACAGAAGTAATGATGGCGGGCGTACGGGTGCCACAGGATGAGTGGGAACGGCGTTGCACATCTGATAAAAGGATTGCTGCTCGATTTGGCTTTGACATCTAAAACAAGGTAAGGGACAAATTCATTTAGAAAAAGGCAAGTAGCATGCATTGAGTGTTGGTTCGTACTCACACACAAGTCCTGTGCGACTATTGTATAAAAAGTAGCTATGCTAGCACGATTCAGTGATTTTTTTTTTTTTTTTTGTGGTGTACCCACCAGTTGTTGGGAACGTTTCTTTCAATGAATTGTTTGAGATGAGGAAATCACCAGTGCACTCTTTCACTTAATCGTAATATTTTCATGATATGTTATGATATCCCTGTAGCGTGAACTTTTAAAATTTCACCTGAAATCCAACTATCCCGAACTGTTTTGGGAGTCGTGTATGTTGTCAGTCGAGTACCTGGAAGGCTAGTGTTAATCAGTTCCATGTAATCTTCAATAGATGTGAGGGCCTTGTAGCCGGCACAGTTGATGGTTACTTTGGGATGCAGAGTCCGCTCATGTGCCTTTAAAAAAAAAAAAAAAAAGTAATAATACAAAATAAAAAAAATCAAAACAATTACATGTTGTCATGACCAAGGTGAAATTAGGCGAAGGAGCAAGTAAAGTGAACCCACTGATTTGCTCTCATAGAGGTTGATGGTGTAGTTGTTTGGCACCGATACGAAGCGATTTCTCCACTTGCGATTCTCCTCGAGGTACTGGAACAAATTCCCTGAAAAAATCGAACGGCCAGCCAAAGGATCCTGAAAAAAAAAGAAATGCGGTCATATTAATAAAAATGAGCAAAATCTTAAAATTGCATTTCATCTAGAAGCTTTTACTCCATAGTGTTGAGGATTCCGTGAAATTGATATTATCTTTATCATGAATGAACCTGTAACAGGTTTCTTAGAAATGAGGAAACAAAAACAACAACAACAACATGAGTGGTCGTAGTTGTCGGCTCTGTAAATATGCCATTCCTTTCCAACAGATATCGCTCCCATACAATTCGATACATTTCAAAGTGCAGCGATTCTATTTGGTTCAATTCCATACACTCACATCTTTAAAAAAAAAAAAAGTTTTCTGGTTCAAAACTGTTTTTGTTGCACTCACCAAGTGTGATACACGGGCAAAAAAAAAAAAAAAAAGGACCTCAGCAAGGGGGCAAAGACTTTTTCGTGGCATTGGAAGGTGTGACGAAGAGCTCTCCCGAGCACAAATAATGACCTCATTCATGGAGTTGTGCGACATTGTTCTGACGCAGCCTTTGTTGACAAATCCCTTGGCAACCGGTTTTGTAGTTGCTCCTCTTCATGATCAGAAATACAGCGGAAAGACAGTTACACTGTGGCTTTTGGGCTCACGTTGCTGCGCGAGGACATCGTTGCTCGATGGTGCGGAGTGATTTGCAAGACCCGAGTATCATTAGACTTTTTAAGCGGGTCTACTTTTGTCCTGACGAGAAAACGTTCTCGTCCTCACGAGAAACGTCTTTCCCCGCTAGCGCTAGCTTGTTTATACAGCGACGACATTCTTGAAAGCGTTGGATGGAATAAAGTTTAGAATCACAGGACAGTCAAGAGTTACAATGGTATGCATAGCGTTTGAACGATGACACTCAAGCGGGGAGAGGGGGTGGGGGGGGGGAATGCTGTTTAACTGCATTGCCATTAATTGGCCTGCTTGCTCGAGGGTTTTCTTGGCGGTGATGACAGAAAACTGCTTTGGGTACTTGCCTTCCGGTGTAGCAACTGCGATTGTGGCCCGCCACCTCCTTCGATCTCGTAGCGGATGCTGTTGAAGAGAGCGACGGCATACTGCTGCTTATACACGTCGCTGAACTGTCTCATCACATCTCCCGTCTTCACTGTAGGACGAGAAACAACAACAGTTTGGTGCTACAGTCGTTGGTGCAACTTCTACTATGCAAAGTAAAATTGATTTATCAACAACACCCAGAATTGCCGCCAGCCTCTCTGGATCCGAGCTCATCTCAGATGGACTGATGCTAAGAAAAAAAAATGTTTTGTGGTCTGACGAGTCCACATTTCAATTTGGTTTTGGAAATTGTGGACCAAAGAGGAAAAGAACCATGCGGAGTGCTAGGGACGCAATGTTCAAAGGCCAGCATCTATGATGGTTCATTTAATATGCCCTGCATGTTTTTGGAAAGTACCCGGACAAAACCCACGCAGGCACGGCGGAGCACATGCACACTCCACACAGGAAAGCCGTAGCCGTAATCGAACCCTGCACTTCTGGACCGTGCGGCCGACGTGCTAACAAGCCGAGCCCCGTGCCGCCCTGGTCCAATTTATATTCATTTTATTTCTAACTATGCCCAGACACTTCTGACCATAACTCAAGACTCGGAATTCTGATGTATTTTCCAAATACTTCGGGAGACAAAGCAGCGCCTCCTTCCCCTGATCAAGAAAACCCCCTCACAGTTTCCATTCGTGCACAATGGTCTCGCCGCTATTTTGACCCAGTTCTACGGCTGCCGTCTTCTTCCTCAGCAATCCGTCCAAGAGGGGATGTGCGTCTTTCCCATGTCCCGGTGCTGGAAAAAGGAGTCGATGTGTTTGGCTGCGCTAGCAGCAGACGGTGTTAACTGCGATACGTTTCTGGAAGGGACAACAGGAAGAAGGGAGATGACCGGAGGTTGGAGAGCGGGGAGGAAAGCGCTGACAAGGCAACGCTGGTGTGAGAGGAATGCGGAGGAGACAACAGCGACATCAGAACTTCATGAGAGCGCCTTGTATTCTATATATAGTACAGTGGAAATTTTCAAAGACAATGACGATGTGAAGACATTTGGAGAAATGCACAAATAGCTCTCATGGAAGGTTATTTTGGTTCCGATGGGTGCGTGTTGCACAGTTCTGAGAGCATTTTGTAAGATGCCAGCGAGATTAAAACACTGCACTGAGATTCTGGTTACGCTGTCTGATTTCGGAATCCTTTTAAGACAACAACAAAAAAAATAAAAATGGACATCCATGTCCGGAAAGAATTTGAGCACAGCTGGTCTGTGCGCCATCACCAGCACCCCCAACCCCAAAAAAAATGCATTCAACTTTGTATTTTCCATTGGATGCCTCTTTCTGCCAAAGTAAGCAAAACATTCCAGTTTAGGGAACCAATACCACGTCTTGAACCCATCGACATTATGAAGGCAAAAGGAATCATTCATTTTGCGTAGCTCAGTCGATAAATGTCTCCACTTATCCAGAAAATGTTTGACCGGTGCAAAAAGCACAACAAAGACTATTATGATCCATTCGTGAAACCTCGGTGTCCCATTTTATACTCGGTCAGGGGGCTTGTGGGTATATATTTTCCACTTTTTCAGGTAAGAAAGGACATCTCGCTGGTCGCTTGTTGTCTTCATCGTTTGACGGAATGCACAGTGTAACGTGCTGTCATCGACTTGGTCACGTGTTACTTCACATTTGTATCGTCATCAAAATCAACCAAGGACATTTTCTTGTTTGGCGCTAACTTTGCATGTCATCCCCGGGGCTCGGGATCCTACTCGGGTATTCAAACGTTCCGATGACAATGCTATGAGCTAAGATATGTGAGTGCGCTGCAAGTGTTATGCGGGCTAATGGGAGGATCATCCTGTGAGAATGTGATTCAACAGCAAGAATGAAGAAATCACATCGTCCCTATCAGGGGTGTGCTGACACCTTTTGCCATGCATGTTTTCCGGAATGTGGGAGAAAACCAGAGTACCCGGAGAAAACCCACGCGGGCACGGGGAGAACATGCAAACTCCATGGAGAAAGGCTGGGGCCGAAATTGAACCCGCACCTCTGCGTCGTGAGGCCGACGTGCTAACCACTCGCCAACGTGTCTGTCAAAAATCCAAAACAGCTAATTGCATCGACAAGGCCACATTTCAGAGAGATGATCCTATTGAGACAAGCAATTCCATCTTACGGTGTGAATAGATCAACTTTCAATCAAAACAACACTTTTTTTGTCATCAAAAACAACCAAGATGTCACGTGATAAGACTTGAGACAGACGCATTCACTGCAGGTGTGGATGACGTCAAGTTCTGGGCTGCAAATGATAGTTGGAGTAATCCATGAATCCAAAACCTGTTCAAACCTGTTCAAACCATGAAGCTGCATACAATTGTGTTTGAGAGCCAATCATGGCGTCTCGTGCACCAACAGACAATTTTTTTTGTCTTTGTTTCTCTCAATTTGACATCCATTACAGAGGATGCGAAATGGCGGCGCGCAAACTCAACTGACTGAATTCCCCTTCATGTCCTCATTTCTTTGTCCGGGGGCGCACACCACCACAAGCTTGATCTACATGTCGTTCATTTGGTCGAGTAGATTTAGCGTTGCCGCTAACATTAGCGTACCCCTGCAGGTGGAAACCCAGCCTATAGCCTGGTGGGCATTCATCCAGAAATGAGTCCTCGCCAGCCATGTGAAGGTCAGCGATGTGAACCGCTACGCTACGACTTGTCACCACTTACTTTGCCTTTGAAAATGCAGAGTATGCCAATTTTCAAACAGCTTTCAAGCACAAAGCATCAAATTCTGCCTAGTCAGAAATGTCATATTATTTGGACGTGTATGCGACCACTTTGTTCATCTTCTTGAGTGATACATATGAACTGTGCACAGTATAAGCTCCAAAGTTAAAGTTACAATTATTAAGATAAGAAAACCTTTAATAGTCTCACAATGGAGAAATTCCCACTTCACAGCAGCAAAGTTATGAGAGGAAGAAGTACAAGAACAAAATAAATAGGAGCTGCTGGAAAGGCAGCCACTCTCGCTGCGCCATCTTGAAGTCAAAATAACACATAAGACACAGACAGTCGTGCAATCTTAATCAACTTTTCCTGCACACACTTTGTTGTTTGAAGCTGTTATAGATGAAAGAGGAGAGGATCAAAGTGTCCTTTCACCAGAGGATCAGATTTTGATATTGATGACTTCTACTTGTGTGTGTGTGTGTGTGTGTGTGTGTGTGTGTGTGTGTGTGTGTGTGTGTGTGTGTGTGTGTGTGTGTTCTTTCGCCCAATTGCCATTGAACAAGGAATAAAAAGCAAATAGTGAGAAAACATGACTGTACTTTCCATCATTGCGTGAACAGAACTAGACTAAAAAAATGCGTGCAAAACAACCTTGGCAAAGAAAAAATATATTTTCTTGTGTTGTTTAATGAATCATACGGGTCAGAAGTGCAAAGAAACATCACTTTTTATGTATGTCGTCGAAAAGCTTTAAAGTCCGGTCTGGACTTGAAGAAAGCGTCCACTGAATAAACTCAATCGTAAAACGTTCTCCCTTTAGCAGAGTTGTTTATGATAGCCTCTACTGCCGAGCTCGTTCTTTCCGAGGAGAGTGTTATGAGTCAAGACTCTGGCCTCCTCACGTCTCCTCTGCTCTGCTCTGCGCTTGGTTGGAAGAAATCCCACAGAATGTTCGGTTCCCACAGCGGGAGGCTGGAGCAATCCGAGACTCAAATAGCAGCCACTACCAATTTATACAAACATGCTTCTCTTTGGGGAAACCTACTTATTATGTCTGGGAAGAGAGCCTACAGCAGAACTCTTTCGTAAGCTGGAGTAGAACAGTTCTCTGTGCAAAAAAAATAATTAAAAATGGTGATGCTTTTGTACCGGCACAGGTGGTGACACTTGCTGGGGGCAATTGTGTCGACTCCCTTTTCAACTCATGATTGTTGTTACTGTTGATTTGTTTTAGGCGATATGCTAATAGTAGCAGAAATATTGAAATAGTCAACGTGACTAAATAGTCCAAACAAAGAATTTTCCATTTCAAAGATACACTCTGGTGACATTGCTTTTGGCCCGCCCCGTACAACCACGAGCAACGATTCATTGCATGCTTGCAAAAAAAAAATAAATCTGTGACTCAAAACAAAATGTCGTTCCTGTTTCGGCTCCGTGCTAAAAATTAAGAGGGTGTTGTTGAGGCAATCCCTCCTCCACATACCTGTAATCATCTCCCGCTTGCCTTCATCCAGGTGAGAGGAAACCACGTCCCCCATGGTCGCAGCAGAACCCCCAAAGACTCGGTCACACAATCCGAACCGGTTGCAGGCGTGTATATTCCGGGTCGACCGTGGCGAGGTTCCCAAATAGTAGCGCAATTATTCGACCGAATCCAAGAGGCGAAAACTTAAAGTGTCTCCTCGTGAAGGAGAGAGAGAGAGAGAGAGAGAGGGGGGAGAGATAGAGAGACTTGCTACCGCTACTGTCTTTGCTGGGTTTTGTTCCGAGCACTGGGCGAGGTGACAACACCCTGGCGGCAGGCGGGGACGAGGAGGGGAAGGAGGAGGTGAAAGCACGGTTCGGCTTCAGAAAGGCGGGACACACCTTCTGGAAGGCATCACTGGTCCAACGTGTTAAGGCGGCCCCGCTTTGGGTGTGGCCACGAGCTGCTCGGTTTTTCCACAACCACCAAATCCTATTACTGTTACTGTTCCACACTATTGTTTGAAGATGAAGGCCATGCATACAACCTATATGAGGTTTGAAGATGTCATTTCCTGCGCGCCTGACTATCCATACACTTGGGCAGTGGGTACTATTCACGCTTCATGTCATTTTAGATTTATTTTGAATTATTACATCGCCGGTGGCATAGTAAGGGCGATTCTATTGTTTCGCTATGCAAGATGTACTGATTGTCCACAGTTTTTCCAACACGTATTATGATGTTAATGCGGAAAGATACATGCTGCCCCCATGTGGACATTCTTTGGTAGTACAAACACCGATGAAAGTTCGTCGTACTCGTGCGCTGGATTCCTCGTGGTACGCTGTCAGTAGTAATTAGTATATAAGCAGATCAATGATCAGAGCCAATACCAAAACTGTCTGTTTACGGTATTAGTACGACTGGAGCGCCCTGGGAAACTTCATGTGACTACTAGTAAGGCAAACTTGTGTGTACTAGTTGACATCTGCGCGCGAGGAGTAGCTGTAACCTGTGAAGCACTAGATGTCACTACGTGCTCGTAAGCAGTTGTCAAATAGTGCGCAGTTTTGCCTCTTTATAGTAACATCTAGTTCGACTAGGGCGCCTATCGTAAAGCGTGCGGGAAAAACGTCAAGATATCGCCGCTCTCCTTGTGCGCAAAAATGTCAGAGGGCTATTTCCCCTTGTCTTATTTTGTGGCCTGATGCCTAACCACCACGAGCAGACTAAATGCGTATTACAATTCCCCATTAACCGTATATCATCTTATCCCTGTGGTTTTTTTCTATATAATACATTGAAGTGAGTAAAACGAAAGGCATCCTATATAATACATTGAAGTGAGTAAAACGAAAGGCAGCTTTTTTTTTATAGCTAATAAGACGCAGTAGTTAGTCCAAATACGCCCCAACAGTCGTGCGCACAGTGCGGAAGGATACGTTCTGACGACTCCTTGTGAGGGCTCCTACGCAGTGATGGGAGGAGGTGAACGCAGGAGGGGGAGGAGGACGACCACAGGAGGAAGCACTAGACCCAATACTCGGCACCATCATGGCACCTATCGGATTAAAGGCGGTGGTCGGAGAGAGTAAGAACCTTCCTGTTATTATTCCAGATTAGCCTCAATGACCTTGTGCGGCGTAAATGTATTTGTTGTTGTTTGGAGGCAAGCGGCGATTAAGGATGAGTGCGAAGGTGGTGCTGTTGACGTCTCGTCGTCATTGCCGTAGTGATGCAGAGCGGAGAACGTGATGGAGGCAACCTGCAGGGGTTTGAGTGCGAAGGTGGTGCTGTTGACGTCTCGTCGTCGATGCCGTAGTGATGCAGAGCGAAGAACGTGATGGAGGCAACCTGCAGGGTCTGGGTGCTTTCGCTGCGTTCTTGCGGCGCCTCTGCGCCAATGTCAAGTTGGCTTGAAAGATCAGTGATCACCCACGGATGACTGATGTAAAAATCCTTTTCCGACACGGTGCACAAACGCTTGGGGGGCAAAGACGTACGCCCCTTTCGCTGTAATGTAGCATCACTTCACCGCATATAATTCAGCCTGGATATCGAGCGACGAAAACGAGCTTCTCGTGTTTTGATTGGCGAATAACGAGCAATTGCCATGGTATGGATTACTGTCTTATTTGAAATAGATCCTCGTCGAGGTTCGTGTTTTCGGCAGTGCCTCACCCTTCGCGGAGGATGCGCCGCTTTTGCGTAAAATGCACTTTACGCCCAAGGGCTGATACAAGCTTCAGTCTGCTGTACAGTTCACGTTCGCCGGAGGACGATATCGTGACCATTGAATTGCCTTTAACGGGCGCAATGCAAGCGAGTTTCCGCAATCCGCATTCCATCAAAAAGAACCACATTTACATGGAGCCAATGTCATCTCTTGACAAAAACAATCTGAGCAGCCTTCACCGCCAGTCCCAATTTAGACTATTTATTTATTCCGGAGAGGATGCTCCGGGAGTGTCTGTGTGTGTGTGTGTTGCTGATGCAGGCCTAAATATGGAGGCGCAGTTTCATTCTCCTTTTTGGCCATGGATGGGAAGTACAGTATCGGTGGTTTTGTCAGGCAAGGGATGATGAAGTCAGTTATTTGTCATTCATTTGGAGCATTTGTTTATCTGCTTCTAGTATTCATGTTCAAGTGCTCCATTCAAGCAGAAAATCAGGATTAGCATGATTTGAAATATTTTATGTTCTTGATTTATGGTGCGTAAAACTGATGATCCCATTTCGCAGCGCACAGATCGCATTTTATGTGGGCATGATGACTACATTTTTTGTTTTCTCTAACTGAATCATGCTTTGTGTTATAACATCATTATGGAGCCAACATCCAATGTGTATCACACACTACTGGACCTTTGGCATGCTATTGCATGAAGAGGTGAAAACGTGTTTGATATATCAGAATAAGTCTACGACACAACGCAAGTGCCACGCTATATTTTTGTGCCATTTAAGCAGGTTACGATCGTATCATCATCGTCATCCTATCAGAATACTGCACCAGGATCAGTGAGGCACCATCAGGGATGGCGCTGCACCGTTTTTTTTTTTTTTTTTTTTGGTAGCACCAGTTCAGCCCCTTCAGTATTTTATTTCATATGCTAAAATATATTTACAAATTATTTTCTTACCCCCCACCCACTATGTATTGGTCAAGACCCCTTTCGCCCCAGGAGGAAAAGAATCCTGGAGCCGCCATTCCTTGGAACCATCAATGCAGTTTTTACTCAATAATATATCAAGTCAATTCTTGCTAGAACCTGAGTAAAAAAATCCTTCCATACTTTTTAAAAAATTGATCAAGGCTTTGTAACTGGTGCTTACATTATTGTGCAACTAACTAAAGCCAGGACCTGAATACGCTCACAACAACTATAGGTAGCATGAGGTCGGTAGTGGCCAGGCCTGGGACGCAGTGTGTGACACCTGCGCTTTGGAAGGCTGAGGTGAAGCTGCGCTGCGATTGGTGGAATGGCTGAGAGGAGGGAGGGAGGACCGAAGAACCATCATGGGTCCTTTCTGCAGCAATTGATGTAGAAGATGCGGCTGAGGGGGATGGGCAGCGTGCAGTGCTTCAGCCTCCACTTTCATAACTCCTTTTGAGAGCGAGCGAGCGAGCGAGAGACAGAGAAGAATGGAAATGAGGCCAAGTGGCCAGAATCTCATCGCTCGACAAGATGTGGTTATTATTATTAGTTGTAGTACTGTATTTTAATCATTTCATATCAGATATTACAGATTGCATGGAACTGCAGTGCTCATTGTTAATTACTGGGAAATTTATAGCTGAAAACTAACAATTCTACTGGGCTATTCTGGTAAGCACCAATCCTGCACCTGATTTGCACAATTACCAACATTTTTTTTTAAAACTCAACCCATGCCCACACTAAAGCATGTAAGGCCTTATACTCACGGTCTAGGTCATCAGGTTCAAGGAATGATTCATTGCGTTGCTGCAAAGTGACCTTGGAAACATCACTGAACCACAGCATCCCACTGGTCTGGCTTGGGTGTCTGCTGCAGTGCCTGCAGCCCTCGGCCCTCTGTGACGCATGCACGCGTGCACAATAAGCATACGGGGTGACTGTAGACACAAACACGCGTACATACACGGTCGCTGTGGTTACAGAGCACAAAGGCCTACATGACGGAGCTCATTTTAAAACAGGCTGATACAGGGTATTGGAACTAAAATGAAATCCCTTCGTCTTACGCTGAGGAAGAGTGCTGCGTCAGAACCGGCAAGCATCCTCCCTTGTCCCTCAGCTTACCATCCCCCTTCCACACACGCAGACACAGGTACAGGTATCCCTCTATTAATGACAGGAAAAAAAAAACAATTGTGGTCACAAAAATAACTTGAATCTGACAATAGTATTAATAAGATAGAATGAAAATCAGACATTGCTTTTGAATTGCGGTTCAACACAATTTTATACATATACAT